TTGCTATGGTGCTGCGGAGGCAAGTTTTCAATCTACGCAACGCACTGAATGATCGTTCCGCAGAACACAGAGATATATATCACTTTAGAAAACTCTGAAAACATATCAAATGGATCACTCTCGCGCATTGCCTCCACCATTTCTAAAACAGTCAAAATCTATCCGCGCACAAGACGAAAACTCACATACATTTTCTGCTCGGCTTCTCGTCGTCGATTTTGTAAATTTTAGCAACGCGGGATAAGCTTTCTTTATCAAGAGTTTCATTGTGACAGATATTTCACAAAGCACAGAGTGTTTCAGGATCATTTCTACGAAACCCCAGTGAGCTCAAGGTCGGACAGTACCTTGTCGATGGACGCCTAGTAAGTGTTAATACGATAGTGCGATTCCGTTGTTAGCTGTGTTTGTTTCTGCGCATGTTCACCTTAAAGGGCTCGAAGGCAGCGTGTCGGTGTTTGTCCTGGTGTCCTGGCTTCTTGCCATTCAAACTGAGAGTTTGTTAGCCACTTCTCCATTTTTAGATCCATTACTGTTCTTATCTACTATACGCTGTTGAAACTTTCTTCACACTGACACTGGCGTAAGGTCTGAATGGTCATGTCGGTATTTCTACGTGATAACAGAGATCACGTTGGCCGTCTTCCCCTGAAGATTTCGGCACAGACTATTAGTGTTGCTCAGGATTATTATCAGCACACACCGTCTGAAAAAAGATGGTTTTACCACGCCGACCTAGGTTAAAATAGATAAAAAAAAAAAAAACAAACAAAACAGAAAAAACATGCACACACCCACGCACACGTGGAAACTTTTGTAAAAGCTGACTTCGCCCACATCCCTCTTACTGCCAAAAAACTCTGACTTGCCCAAAATGTGGGGGGCTGCAGCCCTCCCCCCCGGCCCTCCGGTGGGGAGTTCTTTTTCCTGGATATCATCGATGCTCTAAGCTAGCAAGGCTTTGGTACAAGAAAATGAAGGACTGCTTCGATTTCTCGTATCAGGGCCCAGCTGGCTAAGGCGAGTCTGCAAAACAAAGTTCGGAAAAAGGTTGGGGGCAACAAAAAGGCCTAAGCCTACACGTGTTCCTAAAATCAGTCCAATCCAGAGTGGTAAATAGAAAGCGCTTTCAGCAGAGTTCTATCAACACTCCTCGATCATTTAAGACAACTCCCCGGAACAAACACGCTTCACCTGCCGAGACAGATTTTTCGAAAATCATATCATCGACTGGTAAGATCAGCAATGAAATATATTTAATTATTATACCGAAGTCAACCTTTAATGATCATTTTAGCCTCTGGTATTAAATAAGATACGCGAGTGGCAGATTTGAAAACCAATTATTATCGATAACAACAGCACAAAAAGAAAAGTATTTAGCTTTCAACCTTTCGCCACGACGGTGTGGCCGAAATACGGGGACGAGAGAGAACGAGCCTATCTACGTGTTAAAAATAGCCCTTTGAAACAAAATATTTGTTCTACCGATAATAAATGAATGGGTTAAGGAAGGAATTGAAGTGTCAAAAACGTGTTGCAACAAATTGCGTAAAGCTTGGATACAAATAACGACGAAAAATACATTTCAAAGTTAATGGGAAAATTGACAGCGATCAGCCAATCAAAACACTCTGGCGTGACAGGAGCTGAAGCGACGGAAATCCAGAGATAAGCGGTTGCCTGAAGCAAAAAAGATATTGGTTTGTTACTTAAAACGGACAGTTATAGTAGATTGCGAAATCATCTGCCATAGCGGTCAATTCTTGCCTTGGTAAATGTTCGAACAGTTGACTTGAACAAATAAATGACGAATAACTGGTCTTAATAAGTGTAATCTAAATATGTATATTCAAACCAATTTTCTTTTCTGAATTTATGGCTGAGACCAATTTTGAGGTAGGCAGATGTTAAAATCAGAGATAAAAAGCTAGGAGCCCCTTTATTGTTTCTTGCGTTTCTTCGAAATGAGTTTCAAGTTGAGAACAAATTTTAGATCGATCAAAGTCGGTTTCAGAGTCGCCTTCATGTAGTCTTAAGAGATACATTTTACGAAAAGCTGAAAATTAGAATAGGAGTAGCATTAAACCTCTTAAACACTGTTGACCGCTCAGTGAAAACGTTAGGAGCATAAATAGCCCATCCTTTAGAAAAAAAATAATTATTTGAAATTACCGCTTAGCATATATGGGTTGCGCTCTTTTTCCCCGACTCTTTCTCGCAAAAGCGTGAGGTTCTGCTGAGTTGATTTATCTTATTCATGAATTCTGTCGATCGGTTTACTTGAACCAGCAAGTTGCTATCAGTTTCGCCTCAGGCAGATTTCCAGATGGAGGGATGTCACCGCCATCGGAAGAAGTGGAGAATAGAGTGCTAATGACAACTGGGAATTTGTGCCGACGCCTCTTGTTTTCGACAGCGCATGTGTTTTTGTTTTTGTCTTAAAAGCGATTAATTTCCATATGTGTCATTAGACTACCTCTGTTCTCTCGTGTTTGTACGTTTCGTTGCACGTCTTTTCGTGTTTTATTGCTTTTTCGCTTTTTTTTTTCAGATAGTTTTGAAAGTTGGCGCGCTCTAATTTAGAATAATGTAGGGGGAATCGTGCAGCTCTCTGAAAGCTCATCAGTTGACAAGCAACATTTGAGAATGGCGTACAGAAATCCAACAGGCAAGGAACCAACGAATCAAACGCGATTACCAAGGATTACGAAAAAAATCGGGAACACTCAAAACCCGGTTTCCAGCGAAAGTGCAGAAGACAACTCTCCTTTGAGCTTTTTGCGGCTTCCGCAAATTGGAAAGCGCTTTACCGGGCAAAGCAATGCGGAGTCTTGTCTCCATGGGGAACAAACATTCAAATCTTACGAGATCGCAAATGTGAACATGAAATATCGAACTGTGGGCCGAGCAACCAGACACCACATAACGTCTTCGATTGAAAGAAAGAAGGACTCGGAAGAGGTGACCAGGAGCGATGAGACATACGCTCGCTCGAAAGCATTTACTGTTGAAGGAAATCGATTCGATAACCATTCGGTAAGGGGTGAGATGGTAAAAGGCACCCTTGGTGGCGAGAACTCATTAAAAAAACCCATACATTTGCTTCGAAGGCGGCTAAGACCAGGGCGAGCCTATCAAGGTAGTTGTAGCCAGATATTACACGACGAACTTCTGACATTCGATCAAAATATGGATTTGCTGCGCACATGTACAGAAAGGGACAATATCGTCGAAGTCAGGGATTTCAGTGGGAAAAGGATTGATGTCAATAAAACCGGAGACAGCGATATAACATCTTACATAGCGATGTTTGAAGTTGAAAGGAGAACAACGGAGTCGTTCACGGACGACAACAACAAGCTTTTAAATTGCACCGCGAAAGAGCAGACAAGCTCAGAGGAAGAAACAAATGAACGTGTCCGTGGGCGTTATTACGAGGCTCTAGATCATCATTTTTTCCACTACTATCGAAAGACTCATCCTAAGAGAAGAATGGCGATTTGTGAAGAAATCGAACGAACTATTGTTGTAAACGATTTGGCCCTATCTTGTTTCAGGGAACATTTAAGCCTTCAAGACGTCATGAACACTTGGATGCTATGAAACAAATTTGTTAAGCTTTGGAGGAAAGTCCTGAGTTGAATTTACAGTTAAAAAAAAACTGACAAGAAATGATTCCACTGCACGTTTTTCAGCTGCCGCCATACAAACGGCTAATGACGCACTTGAAAAGTTCATTCTGTGTTTGACTATAAACGTAGAGGAAACACTCGAACGCGTCCTGGTCAGACTTTATGGGAAAAGAGAAGATCAGAATAAGACCACTTAACATGTGACCTGATTAGCATTCTGCCGAGTACTGAAAATAATTTTTACCGTTTGACACAATCACACGCCGTTGTTAACCACTTTGATGTATTTTCGAAAAGCCGGAAAAAAGGAAACAATCTTAATTTCTGGCGTTATTCAAACTCGCTTCTTAACAAGCAAAATAGCGAAGAAATAACGTCTAAAGATGAAAAGTAAATTTAAAATAGCAAAAAAATTCTGAATGTTTCCATTTAGTTAAAAGTGAACTGAAGTGACATTGTCATAGTTCCGTTTCTTTGTTTCCTCTTGGAGCAGGTGAAAGGCAGCAATTAGCAAACAAAACATGACCGGAGAAAAGTGTAAGTTTTCTGACCTTTTAAGGCGTCTTCTTATTCACAGTTTTTTTACAAAGAAATTTATATCAAAAGAATTGGTAAAACTACCATTAATTCCTGTCTATCGTTGTTTTCAATCAGCGCAATGCCATAAAATTTAAAACTTCAATACGCTAAGAACGTAGTTCAACCTGCAATATCTCTACCTTTTCTTAAATTTTTTGTCTCGAATGACTGAGAAAATATGTTTCGTTTTTTATTTGCTTACAGCATCTCCCGACCAAATTTATCCAATAGTGTAAGAGAAGTCAACTTTCCTTCCATCATTCGTTCGTTTCTTCGATTGTTCTTTGGTTTTTCCGTGCGCGCATTCGTTTGTTCGTTTGTTTTTCGTTCGTTAGTTCATGCATTCGTTCTGTCGTTCATTTTTTCATTCTTCCATTTATTCGTTCGTTCGTACATTTGCTCATTGGTTGGCTCGTTCATTCGTTCTTTCGCTTGTTCATTGGTTCGCTCGTTCGTTTCTTTTTTTTTCCTTAGTACATTTGTTCTTTCATTCTTCGTTCGTGTGTTCGTTCGTTCGGTTGCTCGTTCGTGCGTGTGTTCGTTCGTTCGCTTGTCCGTTCGTTCGTGCGTTCGTTCGTTCGGTTGTTCGCTCGTTCGTGTGTTCTTTCGTTTGTTCGTTCGTTTGTTCCAGACAACCAAGCTACAACCTCTTTTCCACGAAAAAGATAAAATACCCCCATCACCCTCCTGGTTCATACTTACGACTTAAAAAGTGGGCTCTTTCTACACTTTGAACCAGCATCGAAGTCACCAAAGCCTGACTACTTAAATCAGTAAACACCTCAACACCTTTACAGATTTAATGAATGTAACCGAAGAAGTTACAATTCATAGACCCAACGTTTTTTGTTTCTTAGTATTTAGCATAGCTGCCTGTTCGACAAAATACCGTCATAATTAGTGAGGATCGAACTAAAAATCCGATCAAACTAAAACGAAGCCGCTTTAAATCTGAGTTTGGGTCACTTGGGTCTCAGACAATCGTCTATTTCCTGAATAAAATAGTCCAATTGATTATAAAACGTAAATGTCTGAAAAGTGGCCTCTGTATTTTGTATAATTCAGCTGAAACTGAGTATAATCTAACTCGGTTAGCCTTGATGGTTTACCTCACTTTCCGCCGCAAAATTACTAATTAGTCGGCTCTTCATGCGTTATAAACCTTATAAGACACGACAAATTCTCCTTTGTTGTACATATGAACGTGGCTTCTTTCCATATTCTTTTCTGCTAAAGACCTCTAATTCTCTCATCATTGATATCAGGTCCACTGTTTGCCACAATCCAGCCTCGAGGTTAGAAAATTATCTCCTCCAGAAGAAGCAGACACGTCAACAAGGTTTTCGTGCAGCCCTATTCTTCGCTTCGATAACAAAGGACAGATAATCAATTTCACTTTTATGGGAAATGAGGTGACTAACCTCTCCTTTAATTTACTGAGTCAAATATTGATAACACGGCTGGGGATTACGGTTCAATGTCACCACGGAAGAGGATGAAAAATACAGCAAATAACGAAAATTTATCTGGGGATAAATTTTAAAACGAACGCTAAATTTAAGTCTCCTATTCTGCAAATAATTATGTACGAACATACGCCTCTCTAAGTCCATTTGTGCTCCTCCTTCTAAAGCTCGCTCTGGTTGTTTTCCAGTTTGTTCAACTCCCTCTTTTCTTGCCATGTAGTACAAGTTAGAATCAGAATTTCTGCGTCGCCTCTTCCAAGGTCTCCCGAGAGTCGTATCTTCTGGAATAATTAAAGACAAAAAATGATAACTAAAAAAGCTTATTCTCACCGTGGAGTATCTTCTACACCCTTTTCTTCAAGAAGCATTTATTTTACCACGCTAACTTGTTAGAGTGGAAAAATTCAGAATAACTTCTAAAGTATTACGAAAGCCATTCATGTGTTCGAACAAATATTACCCTACCCACAATTTTACCACCCATCGCCGATATTTCGTTAAGCTCAAAAATATTTAGTGGGTACCTGAATGCTTACGGTCCATATTGCTCATCCTTTTTGCTTTCAGAGTTTCTTCAAGCTCTGCGATCTTTAATTCAAAAATCTCTTTCTCTTTCCTCCATTCTTCTGCTTGCTCCAATTGCCTCATCGAAGCTACCTCGACCTCATTTCGTTTGTAATAAAGAAAAGACTCCGAATGCCTTCGAGTTCTTCGTCCAGGCAGTTCTTCCTGTTTGATATTTGGCGCTGTATGAAAGATCAAAAAGATAATTTAAAAATATTAAACATTTGTCAGGTTTCAACGAAAATGAGCAACAAATCATCCCTGACTTCTTTGAACCGAGACCAGCGAGAAGAATAAGGATGGGAATGAAATCATCAGCATGCATTCTTGGTGCTTTTGCATTTGGTCGTGGTATATACTATACGAAGAATGTCAGATTGGTCTGAAAATCAACAAGGTACCATTCTACTACGACATTCTTTACTTTTTCAATTTAATTATACTCTACACAAAACCAAGCTGATTCCCGAGCTCTATCCCATATAAATGTGTTTTAAAATATAACCTTCGCATTGTCCCGTAACTGATCCCAGCCAGAGCATAGGATACGTACAAAACGTAGAGTTTAATCAATCCTACCCCTTGACTCTCTTGTCAGGATAATCTTCTCCTTGAGTTTTTTTATTTCCTCTCCATGAACTTGTCTTTCAAAGCTCAACTGGTTTTCTACTTGTGTCAGCTTCATCATAGCAATCTCTCTCTGATTTGAACTGATGTGAACGAAGGAGTCAGATTTCCTTCGAAACCGCTCTTCTTTCGAATCAGGCACTGCCGTAAGGATACAATAAGAAAGAGGATTAAGTTAGGATCAATTAATGTTGCTGGATTGTCAGATACAGCAATCATTGTTCAATGCAAGATAACGACATCGTTTCTGGGTAACAGTATGTTCTTCCTTTTTAAAACAGGCTGATTACTTGTTTAAGTCGAGGATTAGCTTCCCATGTTGAAAGGGTAACTCTTACTTTTCCCTTTTTTTTATAATTCATAGCTGCAAACGGACTCAGGATCACTTTGATGAAACATGTTCCACATTGTTTGACCTACAAAGGAGGGACACTTAACGCAAAATTACTAAAAAACAAATTATTTCCTCTCTCCCCCAAAGAATGTCGAATTTGTGCACTCTGTAAACTTGACCAAGAAGTGGTGACTTTTAAGTTTTAACAACATCGTTCGAGGGGGAAGGGGAGGTTCTGTATACACGCAAGAATTGGTCTTTTTCAATATCTGGATATAGGATATGTTTTCAACAACTTTACTAAGGAATTTTAACCCTATCGTAGTAGCTTTTCCCGTTCAACGTTACATTTGTCCAAACTTAAATTCAACACGCATTTGCACATATGTTACCATACCTTGATTTTGCAGAAAATTAAATGACATCACATACTCTTTTTCATCGATGAAAACAGCCACCTCAATGTCTTTCGCATCTGTCAACTGTTTGATGTGATCGGTAACTAGAAATTTTTTAAGACGTCTCTGCAATGTTCCATCTTTGTAGATGTCCCATAACTCCTTTAGAGCTGCTGGCGTCTCTGCTTGTACTGTGAAGCACAGAGATCCCTCACTGATCTCAACCAGTTTGGTGTATGCAACCAGCACAACTTTGTTGAAGGTCTCCACAAACTCGTCAAGAGTTGAGCAGCTACGGAGAGCCATGCCACTACTAACTACCAGGAGAGCACCACCAATTGTGCGAAAATTACAAACCATCTTGATCGCTATTGA